ATTAGCTAATGGACTGCTGAGTAAGTCAGTCGGCTTGAGGGTTGGACGGAGTGCCAAAGGCACACACAACTTCGAAAGATGGGTTAAGTGTATAGATTGGCCATGAGCACATTTTGCGTCAGCTACCATTCTGCTAACAGTCTCAAATATTAGACCCGGAAAACCACACATAAAGGCCTGAGCCTGTGTGGATAATCCTTTTATATAAGGTGACCTTCAGAGGCATTCAGAGCAGCTACTGTCAGAGTGTATCTCAACAAGTTTGTATTCTACAGCAATTAAAAACAACCTTAGTTATATTTCTATCCTCCAGATTTTGTAAAAGCACCATTAATATGTGTAAAGTAAGGTCTTTACCCGCTTTTTGTTAAGTGTCTTGAGATAACATTTCTTGTGAATTGGTAACCCTATAGAAATAAAGATTGATTGATTGAATATCATTCTATTTAAGAATATGGTAAAAACACTGATTTATTCAATAACTCTTATATCTCTACATATTTAAAAAAGGGAAATACAGAAACTAGTGTTAAATGTGAGAAGGTGTTGAAAGAGGGCAATTAGTACCAAGTACAAATATTCATTGTCATATGGAAACAGTTAAGAAATATATGGAGTGACTGGTCAGTAAAGTTAAAATAACCATCCTAATTATTATTATTTTTTAATCAAAATCCAATTTGCCATGAGGTTTTATATCTTAATTTATTTGCTACATTGCCCATGATGACTTGGAGCCACACCATAGTTAATAGTATGGCAAAATATCTGACTGTTCACATCATATTACACATTTCTGAAATCATGAAAATAAAGGGTTGCAGAGAATTGAACAGGGGAAAAAAAATGTGATAACAACAAAGTCTGTTTTCCCACCAGTGATATTCTTTATATAATTGTGGAATAAAATAAAAGAGAAAGTTATTTCAATGTAAGCTGCTGCAGTATACTGAGGTGCCACCATGGTGAATGGAAACCCTCCAGTGGTCCCACTATAGTTTCCATTATCTTAAGGCCCAGGCTGCTATTATCATTCCTCCAGAAGACTGTAATGAGAAGCTGGGGTAAAACCGACAAGCGGATAAGGTAGACCTGGGTATAAACTGCTTTAATCTGGAGCACTGGCACTATTTTCTCACAAGCAAAGATCTTGTGATCAACTGAGGGATTGAAGTACTGAGGGGTTGAGTGAATACATGCTTCTATGAGTTCAGAGTATTTTAAAGTCTACTCATCTTTTGCAAGTACAAGATATAAAAGTCCCCCCAGAGGTCATATGAGCCATATCATTTTTATGACCATGTCAATAAACAGCAGTCTGTGGCCTCCCGGTCACAGTTGACTCTGCAGGGAGAACATTTCAGAAGAATTCAACAGGGCAGCATTCAGAGAAAGAAAACCTCACCAAACATAGGAGCTCCCATTTCTACAGGGGCCCATCAAGAGTAGCCACTTCTACTGGACATTTTCCAATTTTCTCCTAATTGTGTCTACTTGACATAATCCAGCCCCAGGCTCCTCCAATATCCATAACCATAACCACTTCCCTTAGACCAACGTTCACGCTCCATCTCAATAAGAGCAGGAATGTGTTAAAACAGAATCTATCCCTCTATTGCCCCACATAACTATCAATAGCTGCCTTTCAGTCTAACGCTTGCTGCTGGTATTGTCACAGGGTGGGCCACACATCTAGGCTTCTTACTGGACTTCTAAAAACCTGATACATGCATTTTGTGCGCCGATGTATGCGTGTGTATGTACGGTATATGTTTTGACCCAGGTCCTACCCTATGACGTACTGCAGCATATAGTGCAGACTCTGTCTAGTCTGCAGCTCTGTAAGTGAGAAAGAAAGCAACCACAAAATGGGTTGGGATAATATCCCAGTGTAAAACCACACAGTCACAATAATTCCTTTAATATCAACTCTTTACAATATTCCGACTCGGCAGAAAACAGGGTTACTTTGTGCTTAACCTCAAACATACAGCACAAGTTAGAAGAATCAACAGTAGGTTAAACTCGGTATGTGCACTTTTATTTTCTCTGCAGTAGGAGAGTAAAAATAATAGGTGGTAAAATTTGGGTGTATGTCTCGGAGGGGGCGTATGGAGGTGTAAGGGTGAAGGTGGCTACGCTGACACAGTAGTTGTTCTCTGGAGACTCAACAGTTTTCCTTGACAGGCCACTGTGGCTTTATGAAAACATACTATGATTTAAAAAGGCCATGGGTCCCTGTAAGGACATGGCAAAAGAGATGTGTGCTACTCTATGTTTGGGCAAGTGTGTGCCTCTCTGTGTGTATTGTGAATGAGTAAACGTAGGTGATCATGTTTGCACTCTGGTCTCGCTGAATGGCTGCGTGAAGAAAAGAGAGCACATAAACTGGAAGCCACCAGTGTCCGACTGGGGGCCACCTCCTTTATCATCAACAATTCTCCATTCCCTTTCTTCCAGCTGGCTGGGTCTAGTTTGTATGGCCTTGCTGGAACCCTTTCAATTCCGTCCTACTTGTTCCCTTGCTGAACACACAGGTCCAAGCTCGCCTGCCACCCATGAATATCAAGCATGCACACACGCACAAAATACAAGCTAGATCTCACTCTGAATTGTTGCGTGAAGTCAAACTTTGGACCTGGTAACTTCTCTGTATCCAAGTGTATGTTGGAATACAAGTACAAAATGTGAATATGAATCTGTGCATCTGGATGTGTCTATATGTGTTGAATGTAAAATCATTCAGGCTCAACCTTAAAAAAGTGATTTTAAATAGTAAGGCCCACTAACTACAAATAAGTCACATTTAATAACACAGCCAGCATTCTTCCTCTATTGCTGCACATAATAAATGTGTTTTTCCAATTTCTAAGATGACCATTTTTTAAAGATGTCTCTGGTGTTGAATGAGACTTTGCTTGCAGAAAAAAACTTGCTTTGCAAAGATATGCTGTGAGATTGAAAACCTTGTCATGGATTTTATGAGAGAAAATCAGAATGAGAGAGTGAGAGAGAACACTCTTGTATCCATCGTGCCTGAATATGCTGAAGCGAAGCTGTCAACACAAACTTAAGATCTGAAGTTACAAGCTCTGTTGTCAGGGAAACTAAGCCAAAATATTACAACTTCAATTGTATTATTTCCAGTAATTCTCTGTTACTTAAAATTTAGGGAGAACATATTGTTTGCTTGCAAGGAGTTGGATGGAGAAATCATACAGTTCTGTCTCTGTGTCTGCAGTGTAGTAACTCATACTGACCCAGCAGGGCCCCGCTTGGTGCATTGGTTTAAGTGGGAAGAGAGAGATAACCTTTTGGTAACTCTAGTGAGTCAATACAGTGATTAACAGTCTGTGAGAATAGTTTATTAGAAGTCAAAAACTTGCAGCCAAAAAAAGAGAAAAAGCAAATTCAAAGTTGAATCCACAAGCAGCTTGCACGTTATGGCTTCTATAGTGTTTTCTTACAGTTCTGGGAACAGTTCCAGTATCGACTTGTCCACAAGTGGTCCCATTAAAGATATTATGGAACAACTGCAGTCTACATAACCCTGTCAACATTGAAGCATTGTCCTTCCCTTCTTTGGTACAATATTCATATCACACAAAGCCGTTGTCCAACTACGCAACTGAACGTTTGGACAGGATATGAATCACTAAAACTCATATCTAAAACTTATAATCATAGCCAAATAATAAGATGGAGTAAGTTGGGGTGAGTATAACATAGAACAAACAGTAATAATATTACAGGCTATTCCCACATTTCACTGAAGTGGAGTGCAGCCACCTTGTCAGTTAAAAGAGGCCAGCTAAAGGTTAATATTCTGAACACTTTGGCTCATCCATGCTCTGAGACCTAAATCTATACGTGCTCTTAGATTAATTCAAAAACAGCCAGTGCATATAAACTGCATCATCAACCATCTCTGAAATGTAGAGGAGAGAGGGAGATTCAATTGGGACTGACATGCTCCAGAGAATTTAGTCATGCTTTTCCTGATGACGCACAAAAATCTCTCCTAATCACCTTCCGCGCCCTGGTGTATGACTCAAGTCACCTTACACCCACATGCCGGACTCTAACTTGAAATTTTGGCAGAAAAAAGTATTGTATAAAATGAGTAGATAAGGATCTTAAGTATACTGCATTTACTGGTAAAGCTGACTTCAGACATGCAAGCAGCGCTACAGCCATAGCGTATGACATCAGATATGTGCTATTTATTACACTGCATGTCTAAATATGTAAAAGATTAGACGCTTTACTATAGAGATTTGATCTTTAGCTTTAAAGCCACAATAAATAGGAGCGAATTAAACAAAACTGCCAACCCTAACCATTATGTTTATTTAGTCTAGTCTTACCACAATGCCTTCTGTGACCCTAACACTACAAATCAAGATAATATTGTTTAGAAGAAGCCCAATTTGCACTATGGATTTAACTACAGTATTCAGTTTAACAACTTTCTGGCAGTCTTTCATGAAACTGTCTCCAAGTTGTGAGCATCCAAGAACAAACCACATTTAGCATAAGGCATATGGAAGTACTCACACATGTAACTGCAATAAATCCCTATTTTAACAACCACTTTTCTCATTTTAATCAAAATCAATGAGGAATTTATAATATTCCCATGCAGTCACAACCTATATAACCCTGATTTGATTTTAAGTGGCCGTGCAATTTTGGAAAATGTATCCCTTTTTGCGTAAGCTAAACCTGCATGTCTTCAGAGGAGAGAATGAACTTCTTTTTTGTATCAACATCATTTTTCTCGAAATGATTTCGTCACTGCGAAAACATTTATGCAGTGCGAAAGGTTTTTGTTGCAGTAGTGGAAAATTATAGCCCAAAACCTGCTAGCAGGCTGTAAAACCTTTCCAATCAATACAGTGGACATTTCCAAAATACATATATGAAACAATGATGTTAAACAAATAGGTTTGGAGGCATTTGCATTTGCCATCAAAGCTATTTGTCTAGGATTTACTTACTGTTGCAGTGATGAGTGGACCATGGAGCTGTGCGTAGAGCAAGGCCTCATTAACGTAGCCCCTAACCCCGAGAAGTGCCAGCTCAAGGCTGTGGTGTCCAGCCATGGCGTGGGTTAGCTGCTCCAACAGGCTGGTATACCTCCTCCAAGGCTGATCGAGCTCAGACACGCTGGCCAAGCAGCCTCGCATTACATTCAGACAGTATCCAACGCAGGGCTTTATCAATGTCAGTCCTCTGCAGTGGGAGCAGTACACCATCTTCACCAGGCCCTTAACACACTCTTTGCTCAGGCTGACATATTCTGTAGCGTTCATCACCTCAAGACCCTCATCCAAGGCCAGGCCCAGTTGTCGGCCAGCTCCAAGTGCCCCAGCCAGAGCTTGGGCCATGACCGCTGGGTGAGGCCCAAATGGGTTGACGTCCTGCCTGGTCATGCGGAGACAGTCGCCCATTTCACTGGCCGTGGTCATGCTGCCATCGATGCCTGGATTGATGAGCCGAGTGTAGACCAGCGGGAAGAGGTTGTTAAAAAAATCGTGAACAGATGCCTCCACAGAGACGTTGGCCCCGCGGAGGTAGAGAGAGAGTGAGGAGAAGAGTTGGTTAACATGGGGCAGGGCATGGCGGGACAGGGATGAGTAGGTTCCCTCCAACAGAGAGCTCAGGTGGCCTTGAGAAAAGGAGAGAAGGTACTGGAACATGTCTGCAGAGAAAGCAGAAAGAAAAGCACAGATATAAGGGAAAGAAAAAACAAGAGCAGATGACATTTCATGGGAGGAACATTATAAATCCTGATGAAATCATCTATAAGCTCTCCATTAAATGGTTAAGGCATTAAAATGCAAACAGATATCCACATTCTGGCTCCAAGCCAGCTAACCTTGGCTTGAGTGTTTCAGTTAGATTGGTTGAGAAGAACGTGTCAAGTTGTGTGTGGCTGGAAATCACTCTGCATAAAGACATCACCCCAAAAAGTATATATTAGGGAGACAAGTCTCTGCCTAGAGAGAAGAAGAATTTAATTGAATCCTGATATATTGCATAAGTAATCCACCGCATTTTCTGTGACAAAAAGTGAATCTTCCAGATTCTAGAGGGGTGTTTGACATGCCACAAGCCTACCACACACATAAACACACTCAACATTTTAGTTATTTAGATCTTGTATCATTTCCTGGTGAGCCTGTGGAGCTGTGAGGCAATCAATGATGTCAGCGTAGAGGCTGTATTAGTGCCAATGAAGTGTCACTTCCTGCTATGTAAGGCAATGTAACAGAAGGTGGAGACAGAATGGCAGAGGGTAAGCAGGGCCAAATCTTAACAGGTCATCTTTTCTCCAACATTCTCTCAGTCTAGACACATGTGAGAGCTCATTGACATGATCTATTATTGATAAGAGCCTACTTGGAGGTTTTTTTCCCCCATTTACAAATACAGTCACATAGGTACGGAGGATTTGGCCGATTACCATAAATAGGACCACTTTTATCATCAAGAACATCCTCGCTCATCATTTTGTCTCAATATCTCCTTCACATGCTGTCCACTTCATCGTGAAGCCTTCGCGTCTGTTCTTCTTCACAGCAACTCTCAACAGTTCTGCTATATGCAACTGTGTAGGACTGTATGTACATGTGCACATGAGTGTGAATATGCGCATGGACACAACACTCTCCTATGGGGTGTGATGTCAGCTTAAAAGCATGCCAGGACATGAAGGAGCAGTAGCAACTGTACAGAAATTGAGACAGGAGAAGGAGGGTGCCAATATACCCCCACCAACACCAACACCACATACATGCAATGAAAAAAATAAGTATGAGCCTAAAGTGTATGGGAATGTTGCATGCTTAACCAACATAATCAATCATGGGTTTTGTTTTTTTAATTTGTCTGCTCATTGTTTACACTTAGAAATTCCTTAACTTTGTCATTGATATTTTATCTCCCTACAGTGATTGTAACCAAATAAGTATGTGTGTGTTTGTGTGTGTGCCTGTGTGTGTCCAGCCCCTCCCAGTTCACAGACAGAAGGATAACAACAGTCATGTCCTCCTCAACAGCTGCACTAATATTACCGCTGTCTGTGACACACGGGGACTCCCCACTGGCCATTAAAAGGCACAACTGATTTGCGATGCACCAGTAACAAGCTTCATGAAACTTCAGAGTTTCTCCCACATCCACAAGACTTTCAACTGTAGTGTATTTGGGTTTCTTAAAGAGAAAGACTGCGTGTGACAGAAATAAAGCAGACAGACAATGAAAAGTAATGCTCTGTTGGGGATTTTGTGGCAAGACAGAGATGTTCCAGCCAGAGACAGACAGACAGACCAAAAAGAGCATACAAATTTGAAAAGCAAAAAGAGACCAATGGACCAAAAGGGGCCAAGATGAAAAAGCATTGAATTGAGTTGGAAGTTGGATTTTAAATTTGGATTCCTCTTTGGTGTCTCCTAAGATGAAGGCTGCAGAGTTTGTTACCAGTGTGAGGTCTGTCTGCGTGACTGCTTGCCAGGTCGCAAGGCTCAACAGCCACAAGAAATGTACATTGCAAGATGTACTGACAGCCTTAGGTTACACAGGATTACATAATGTTATTATAGAATTATCATGCTCAGAAATGCCATGGTTTAATCTTTCTCTCTGGGAGGCGTGTGCAGGGACAGACACAGTTTCTCCACAAAAACATATTTTTTTGAATTCAGTCTTATACTTCTCTTAAGCACCATAACTGGATACACATCTTTCAAAAAGGTTTACGTCAGGATCATTAAATCCTTTAGACATTCTGTACTTGTTAAAAAAGCTTATTTTCCTTTGCCAAGAGGGTGACAGAGGGAGAGAGAACACGAAAGAGGAAAAAAGAGGAAAGAGAGTGGGAGACCGCCAGGAAAAAACGAACTTAATAGAAGCGACTGAACTCTTGAACAAGGGAAACAACTACCGTACAAGTGGGCTCCACCTTGTGAACATGCTCTGACATCTGGATTCATTTGGCCCCTGGGTCCTGAGCAATTCCCTGTCTCTCCATGGCCGTTACTTCAAACATGTCCTTCCCGGGATGCACAGGAGGACAACAGTCCACCTTTCTTCCTCTCTACACTCCCTCTAGCAGACAAAATATGGTTCCCATGTTGAATTCATCTTCAATATCATATTCTGTTCTCCATCGAGTTCTCGCCCACGTTCAAATGTTTGAGATTGCTCCTCAATCGGTGATAAATCAAGCAAAATGCTTGTGGGTTTCTCTTCACATTTCACTACCAGGAAACAGGGTGAATACAAAAAAAGAAGAAACCCTCATTACATGACAGTCAATTGGTTTGATTGTTCTGTCTGTCTGACCAATGTGTCTGAGTCTCGAGGTGACCACACTCCATTCAGTCACACAGTTGTGGGTGGCTATCATTACCTTGTCACAGGCCTTCAGTTAGCCCCTTTGGAAATGAAAACCGGGTGGAATGAGGCTTTTTTTTGCATGATGCAATTATCTTTCATTTCCTTGAAAGTCCTAAAAGGTCTGAGATTCAAAACACATCATTGTCAAGCTAACTATAGAGGAATAAGTGACCAGGCATGCTTTGTCTGTGGACTGAAATGCTCTGTTATTGAAATAAACAAGGTATGGACCAGATACAAAAGAAGAAGAGAAGGCATCTGTCTTGCAGAGTCCTAAACTGAATATGTATTTATAACTCAGGTGAAGGATATTATTCCATACTTTTTCATCACCACTATGACAAGGCCGCTCTCTTGGCTCACCAGGTTCAGCAATGAGGAGCTATGTGTTGAAAAGCTGAAGTACTGATACACAGCTATGCCGTTCTTCATTTCTTGGCTCCTCTCATACTGAGAAAGATGCATGTACAGCTGTTTGTGTCTTACTGGGCAGCATTGTCAAAGTTTGAGTAGGAGATGCCAGAAATCATGTGGCACAGATTAACATGGTAAGAGTGTACAGTATATAGATGTTAGACAAAGTACTAGTACTGTCTGACAAGTTGTATTTGCAGTTGCTGTAGTGGCAGTAAACCTCTTTTGTTATCAATTATCTAAAGCCCCTTTATGTAATAGTTGAAAATTCCTCACTTTGGTGACTCCTAGCGGTGGTATTAAAATTCATTAAGCCTGACAGTAAAGGGGTTTACAATATTATACATGTAGCGCCAACTTGTGGACAAGATTAAACACCAAATTAATGACTCGGTGACCATGACAATGTGTTCCTTAAAGTCTAGCAATGCAGAATTTCTGAAAACCAAAGTCACAGTCACTATTTCCCGGAAGGTGTCCAGCTAAATAAAAAACAAGTGCATGCAATAACTGTTATATAGCCTTTTAAGATTATATTTTCTTTTATTCACTTTTTACCAAATGGAATCATAACATGATTTTTCCCATCAGATCAAGATTTTTAAATGTTGAGATAGGGGGCATGGTGGGGTGTTTTTTTTTTAATATGGCTAAACAAAATGATATACATTTTCTTTTCATGAAATATGTCTGAGGTTGCAGTAGATTTAATAGATCGGATGTAGATTCGGTGTGGGCTCGCCTCCCATTATATACCCGTTGAGTTAGAGGCTTGGAATGTTTCTGTGTCATGAGCATCTTTTAATAAGTGCAAGTATTAGCGCACGTGTATTCTTAACGTGCATATAGGCTTATGAAAGTCAGTGTGAGTATATGCATGCCGGAAGATGCGGTAATATTGTGATAATGAGGTAGGAGACACTGTTCTCATACCGTAGAGCTGTGGGCCCTTGCTATCTTGGCAATCAGTCCTGACTGGACCTGACCAACCATCTTCTCAGAGCAGAGCATTTTAATCCTCACACAGGCTTGGGTTTCAGACAGGTCACCATACAGATATATGACACAGTGACACGTGCAGATTATATATCCTTCTTTTAATTAGTAGGAATACTATACATAAGGCCATCACCCGCACTCTGCAATGGTCATCTTAGGTTACAGATGAGAGCTGCAATGTCACACTATCCTCCAGCCTCTAACCTTCCAGCAAACTGTTTAACAGTAAGAAACTATTAATAATTCAATGAATCAATCTGTTGATTCATCATACTTGTGTGGTAAAATCACACGTCTGAAGTCTAAAGTGGGAGCATGACTCATCTGTCAGGCAACACGCACAGACATGCTGTCCATGCAAATTTGATCTACAAGAACTGGGGAGCTCTACCCCAGCCAAATCACTGTGACTCCACAAGCCACTGGGAAATATAAGCATATAAGCAATCATAAATGTGTTTGCACAAACAAGTCCTAGTGCACTTGTCTTGGCCTATCAGGGTGCTAACAGGTGGCATAATGAGCTTGAGAGCTAGGACAGGAGGTGACGGAGGAAGTGGAGGGGTTGGGGCAAGCGCCCCATCTATCCATCATCATTCCTGTAATTAAAAAGTCAGCCAAGCTATATCAAAACTCTGAAACATAAACAATTCCACAGATGCCAGGGGCATTCAGGGTGCACCAGGCTATATTGTGGTGGGAAGGAAGGCTGGGCTTGGGGGGCAGCAGAGGTGGAGATTGAACAGGGGGGATCACTGCTCCTTGCTCTGGCCAAAGTAGGGAAACATGATCGAAGCCACGGGAATGAGCAGACGAGAGAAGGACGGGGACAGAGGAGACAGAGGGGGCAGTGGGTGAGGGGCTGAGGGGCTGAGGGAGGTGCAGGGG